TGTGTGTGTGTGTGTGTGTATGTGTATGTGTATGTGTGTGTATGTATATGTATGTATATGTATGTGTATGTATATGTATATATATGTCGGTGGAAACCTTAAACTTGAAAGCTAAATGAGCATAGAAAAAGTTGTTAGAATTGTCTTCTTACAACAACTTATAAAATTTTCAGTACAACTGACAGCATTATATAATATCATCGAAAACGTTCTCACCCACACATCCAAGTACCTTTTTGTTCCGTTGTGCATTCTCTGTTGCATTCTCGAGACCAGTACGTGATTATTAAGTTAACCATTGTTATCATTATTATCTTTGGTCCGCGCGGAGCGCTGACCCAGAGCCTTACTGCTGTTCTTGTTCTCTCTCTCTTGTTCTTGTTACCAAAATTTTAAAAAAGTTTAAAAGCGTCCAGCGTCGCAAGTTTAGAACGGACGTGCATGAAATTTTGTACACAAAAACTAGAGGTGATTTCCAACAAACGTTCATCATCGGTTTTTTTTTATGTTGGGCCCCAGGGTTTCCCCTACACCTACAAAACTAAACAGGGTTTTAAACTTTAAAAGCGTACAGCGTCGCAAAAATTTAAAGGACGTGCATGAAATTGTGTACACATAAACTAAAAGTGATTTCCAACAAACGTTTATCGTCCTTTCTTTATGTTTGTCCCCAGGGTTCTTCCTACACCTACAAAACAAAACAAGGGTTTCAAATTTTTAAAAGCGTCCAGCGTCGCCAGTTGTGAACGAACTGGCGGCGACCTGGACGAGCTTGACCTTCTTCTAACAAACGAGGGAATTAAAATGCTATTAATTCTCTCTAGAGTGAAAAAGCACGAGGAAATAACTTTAAAAGACATTCTTGATATTTGTATATGGCACGCCAACAGTGCCTTCGGCTTCGGTTGATCGTTTTTGTGCGAAAAAAAGCATTTGGCTGCGACTATCATTTGGTGGCGATTGCAGCATATATATACAGTAGAACGCTTCCTTTGGGACACCCCTATTGAGGGGACACCACTATTAAAGGGACACTTTTCCATGGAACGAGGGGAAACATATCTTTTAACACTACGGCCAACCCCTGTTAAACGGACACCCGTATTAAAGGATACTTTCTGTGTGTTCCAAATTGTCAAATATTCCCTATTAAGGGACACTTAATTGTTGTCATTGTATCACAACAAATAGAGCAGTCTCAAAATAACAAAACTTTATTCAACTTTATATTTTGAGATTTCTTGAGCAATAAATCAAAATTTAATCATCGGAACTATTAGAATGAACATCGGTATAGGCCTACTGCATGCGTTAATACGTATACAACAATCTTGTCTATTCTGACTCTTAATCATACATTTTTCGTGTACATTCTTGAAGGATTTCAATCCATAACATAACATGCACCCTTTTCAATACTAAGTCGTTACTCTATTCATGCTACATCCATCCGACAGAAAGAATGTTCCTTTAATTACATTTTATTGATTTCATTTTATAAATGAATTAAATTTGCATTTGCAAATCTCTAATTCTACTGTAACTGGTTCTATGTCAATAAAAATAAAATTATAAAGAATGCATGTCGTCGTTGTATGAAAACTTGTCGAAAACCCTATAAGGGGAAACTTATACGTTTTTGGTTTGTGTCCTCTGGGCTGGTCGAAAATTTCTTTGAAAATAAATGTGTTCTATTGTCCACATGACTCGTTGCTATAATTCCTTGTTTTTCTGATGTTGGGACCCAGTAGGTAGACCACACCCACCTCAGCCCAAACCCCCTCCCCATGGTTGGGGGCTGAGGTGAGCAACTTTTAAGAATAGGCCCCCGATCGGAAATGACAGTCTCAGATGGTAAAAATGCTTTTTCAAAGCCGTGTTCTTCCAAGACAAAATGATTTACGTCTTGGGAATTTTATCTCCATTTCTTAAATATTTTGACAAATGTAGGGAAGTCCTGGCTGGCTTGTGGATTAATATGAAATATTTCCTAAGTCGATGTCAGAAACACATTATGATGTTATGTATCAACAAAGCCATTTGGGAGGAGTGGCGCGGCCCTGTATCCCCAAGCTGAATCTGATCTAAGCTCCAGGCGCATAACAGGGGTCTTGCGTCGGGGGAGGGGGGTGGGTGGGCAAAGGTAATAATTTTCCCAGTTAGTAATTTAACATACCCACTCAACCACCGCCCCCCCCCCCATATAGAAAGCAATACGACATAGAGCTTATCTTATTTATAATATAGGCCACACGTGTGTTTGAAACTAAATTTAAGCATTTTTATCATGGTTTTATTTATTACAAACATATTCTTTCACCATCATTACACATTGAGGCCCTTCTTTTAGGTAAAACGGTCTATTTTAAATTTTCTTTCTTGAGTTTGGGACTATTACACTTAGAAGACTAACCATAAAAAATTATTTAAAAAAAACCTTAAAAAAATGCGGGCGAAGCGCGCAAAATGTTTTTTTTGTTTTTAATTCTAATTTCGTCGGAATTGATCAAAACTCCCTAAAATGTGCAATTTTTAGAGGAAATTGGCCTACTTAAACAAGAAACGCGAAATTTAAGATTTGTATGCACTTTCAGGGGGTGAAAAGGGCATCTTCAAGGGGCGGGGAAAGATTTTCCACCGATGAATATTTTCCCCTTGTTCCCCCGGTGGTTACGCCACTGCAGAGAATATCTGGCAGCTTAGATCAAAGGAGCTATGGACACTTTTTAAAGTGGAGAAGGGGTTGCAGGGTGTTGTGAGTCTGGTCATTATGATATCTTCCTTTTTATTCTTGTCTTTATTTTTCTCTTCTTTTTTTCTTTTCCTTTTCTTTTCCCCTCTTTCTCTTTCCCTCCCTCTCCCCTCTTTCTTTTCTCTTATTACCCAGCCCGGTACGACGGCTTGGTCAGCCCGGTAAAAATCGTCAGGGGGGGGGGGGGTAGTCTTCCCCCCCCCTGCCTGTTACGCCACTGCTAAGCTCTGAACTAAATAGAAGCGTCCTTTGCTCAATCGCCGAAAAGATTAATTTTGGCAAAAAAAAGCATAGAACAAATATAGAACAATAAAGAAAACAAGAAACAAGAAGAAAAATGAAACAAATCTATGAACCAGGAAATATATATAAATATACAACCACACAAAATATTTATGTAAAACAGAAATACACATCATTACAATGACAAACATATACCTTTAATTATAATATAATTTATAAATTATAATTATAGCGTAAACGTTGAATAAAAGGTGACTGTCTTTAGTAAGTTAAACCTAGCCAAACCGAAAATAATTATATGAAAACGATTAATCTATTTTAATTAAAATTAAATCATTACCCATCTATTAAAACACTAACACACTTATACTATTGATATCCTAGTATAATGCTGTAAAACAACAACTATAAAAATATAACAGAAGTTTAGTCGTGTACAAAAGTTATATATATATAATATATATTTTATATATTATATATATTGTATATATATTATGTATATTATATATACAGTATTATATATATATATATATATATTATATATATATATATATTATATATCTTCATGTGATAATAAGTATTGAGGATTGTTATTATCTTATTCCTTACTATACACATAATCAGCACAGGTAATATTACCTGGTTCCTAGTTGTAATTCCTTTTACATTTAAGCAAACTATGTAAGAGAAAGAGGCCTTAAGGTGACATTTAATCACATATTGAGTGTATGTTTTGACATACATTTTAGAGAAGAAGCAAGGATCAGATATAAATATCAATATTAACATTGTTACTACCATTACTGATTTATAGTTATTATATTTGTTTATTGAAACTTTACGGTATTTTTCAAAAATCAACTACCACATCTAACAGAATTCAAAACATAATACATGTTCATCTACAATAAAACCTAAACACAAGTATTAGTAAAGTATGACATGGTACACAGTTAAATCATGATCAAAGTCCTACCTAGTATTTACAATTCTATATCAGAATTAAAACTGAAGGTTTATCATAAAACACATAGGCCTATACACCGTAATTCCCAGCAGTAGGGCCTACACCTGGAGACAATCCATTTTTCCCAACGAGTGTACTGCGTTCTTTAATGTCCACATGGTTTACACACGGAATCAATGACTTAAAATGCTTATCCAAAAACAGTGATGGATGAAAGGATATATGTTTCAGTGTGCACACAGTGATAAAGCAATTGTTTAGGCAACTAAAATAAGCTGTTCTCTATTCTCTCTAAAACTACATTCACATTGACCACTAACATTTTACTGAAATTTAAAAAATTAGAATGAAATGATCAATGACTACAATAATCTTCATAAACCATTGAGATAGTGTTTGTATCATTATATGATGTATATAATTGTTATGATGAACATTTTCCATGAAAAAAAAAATTTTTTTATTGAACAAGAAGTTGTTTTTCAAAAAAACACAATTATATTCAAAATAGATAAAAAGGGGTTTTTATTTAAAATAATCTTGAAAAATATCAAATCAATTATGGCAATACTGTTGCGACGTTTTGCATAAGCATTATTGAAAATTTTTATTAAAATAACACTCTGATGTTTTAATACACAACTAAATAATCCATACCCAATGATTATTCTAATACTACAGTCGTTGGATTGTAGGTTGATAAGCTATCAAAATCTGCCTGAAGTATAGCAGAAAGCTCATTCCCATCATCCTCGGTGTCTTCAACGTTACTGACAAAACTGTTGAGCTCTTGTGAACCAATCCATTCTCCCCAGCAGCTTTCTTTGATTTTTTTGAGTAGGTCAACTGTATTCATAAAGATACATAGATTTTATTTAATATCAAAATATTATTAGTTACATTATTTAGTTTATAAAAAGTGACTACAAAAATAGCAACACATAAAAGAAATCTTACCAAAAACAACAAACACAATGGAGAGGTTGAGCAGCAGTAGAATAAATGGTGTAATGTCATGAAGAACAAGTATAGTCTCGTCTACAGTGTACACGAACTCTCCGATGTCAACAATTGCACCAACCGATAAGTTGACGATAATGAAAACAAGTGTCAACAACTGAAATCTCTGATCTGATTTATCCTTCATTGGTTCAAGATACAGGTGCAGAGCTATAAGGATGACGGTAATAAAGAGGGAATATGACATATTCGAGGCTTGGTCGTCTTTAAAGTTTGCGATGAGAGCTAATGTAGCTTTATTATACATATCAATTACTTCCCAGTACCAAAACTTGTTGCTGTATTGCTTGCAGAAGAATCTCATTCCCATCGTTCCTGGCCGTTCTTCTTCGCGACCTACTACTTCATGACGTTTGTATCTGCGATACAATACCAGAATGACAGCCAGAGGAAAACAAACCACATACACTAAGGAACCATAAGTAATGTACTTGTTCGTCTTGTATCGTAAACCATCTTCTTCGTCAAGGTCAATAGAGTAGTCGGAAGTTAACACTAGTTTTTTATATTCACCATTTGCTGTGACATTAAACGTACGGACAGACCACGGGCCGACCGCCATGATGTTTGAGCAAGTATTAGCGTACGTCAAATACAGCAACATCATTGTAACCGACAAGAAGTTGTCTGTTAACTGATGCACCGAGTGGTGTTGCTTGTACCTCCTGCAGATGCTCCAGATCAAGAAAAAGATAGATGTCGACACAATAATAAAGAATGGTGTAGCGATGGCAATATACAAATATGTGTAAGCATTCCAAACACCTGGAAATATACACCTCGGGCTGAGGACATTGACATACCGTACAATGTCGAGATACTGGAGGCTTTGTCCAACAGATTTAAATGATTCTGGCCAATGAATTTCATTAACTGCAGATAGTATACCCAAAACTTGGTAAAAATTGATAGCGATTTTTAAGTGGATCACAAAAGAGTCGTTTCGAATTCTCACACCTGTTTGTTTATCCAGTCTCCACACTCCGTAGGCAACACCTATGAATGCCAATATTACCACAACCGTCACAGTGATTATGATTTTATAATCTTGACATTTGTGACATTTGTCAAATAATTCATAATAATCAGCACTGCACTCGGCACACAACCAAGCCGTATAACCTTTTGAGCAGTTTCCTTCAATACCTCCACCTAGACAACCCTCACTTCGTGGACACAAATGGACTGCAGGAAGAAATCCTTTATAGTCTGTATCGTTTAAACTGTTAGGTGTAGAAAGTTCAAAATGGGAATCACTAAGGTTGTTAACAAACTGGTTGTACTCATGAAAACTACCTGGATAATCATGACCAATATAAGCTGTAAAATTCCACGACCACCAGTAGCCCGCCCTCAATTTCTGGAAACCACCTGCGCAATCGACACCGCTTGGACACGGCTGACATGCGCCGTAACGGTAAGTGCGATGGAAGTTCTCTAAGCATGGACACGCATTAAGAGCTGCCTGGGAATCTGTATTTGTTCCAGTAGGACATGACCGGCAACCAAAAATCGTGGTAGCTGCAAGAGTAGGAGAAAACGTTCCAATTGGGCACCGTTTACAGTCGGTTGTGTAATTACCGGTTTTTAAATGTCCACGCTGCTCTTGATAGAAACCACCTAAAATTAAAATTTTTCAAATTAATGTAAATTAATTTTGAAGTTGAGAAGTATCTGTACTGATTATTATTGAGAAAAAATGTTTGTCCCTAATTGAAATTTGAGTATAAGATAGCCCGATTACTCTACCAACTGAACTATAACGCCAAATAGTAAAAACCTTATTTTCCCATTAAGTTACGTTTGTTCACAACCTATTTCGTAACACGCAATGAATAATAGTAAATCAAACATTGGTATGGAGAAACATCCCCACTGGTGATAATCAATGTGTATATATATAGTAAATTGTTATAAGAAATTAATCATAACATTAAATAATGATAATAATGATAATAATAATGATAATAATAATAATAATAAATAATAATAATAATAATAATAATAATAAATAATAATAATAATAAATAATGATAATAATAATGATAATACCCATACATAAAAATTCTATAGAACTTTATAGACCTTCTATAGAGACTAATCAATTTCTACAGAAATTAGTATTTTCTATAAAATTGTTTTATAGAAGAACTAGTTTCTATAGAATTCTATAACATACTATATAAACATTTTTAATGTAATTTCTATGTTTTTAATTTTTTTTGTTTCATTCAATATTGTATTGACACATTCGTGTCTGACCAGTCCTACCAACGTGTTTTTTCATCTTGCATATTCTATAGAAATTCTATAGAATATTCTATACAAATGATTTGACAAGTTCTCTATAATAAAACTATAAAATTTCTATATTTATTCTATAAAAAATTATAGTCCTTACCTGTATTTTTAAAAATGTATTATAACAATTTTATATGGATTATCTCTATCGGAAGATATAAAATCTACATAGAGAATAACATATATGGAATTTCAATATAAATTTATTTATTTATAGTATATTCTGTAGAACTGTATAATATTCTAAACACAGTCATTTTAAAAACTGTAACTTTTAATAGTCTATAGAAAATATATATAAAATATATATAAAAACTCTATGGAAACATTTATAATCTGTAAAATTGTTTCTCTATAAAAAGTGTATATAAAATGAATACGAACTCTATGGAAGTGTTAATTATCTGTAAATGAAATATTAAAAATTATTCTAAATATTATATCTATAAAAAAAATTATGTATTAATGTATATATAAAATCTGTTCAAACTCTATGAAAAATTTCTGGAACCGCTAATAAATAGCCTTATGGGAACTTTATGGGGGGGGGAGGGGGAGCGGGTCTGCCCCTAAACTTATCCCTCACATATTCACCTAACAACAATGCTTTATAGGTGACAGCAAAATGTTATCAACAGCCTAACCTCTTTACTGTGATAGCCCACCTAACCAATTAATGTTAGTGTCGAATTGCACAAATCTGATTGGTCACTTCATCAAGTGACCAATCAGCTGATTTGAATTGTCACTTCATGTAGAGCCAACACGGAAGCGGTAGTATTTTGAATTTTTCTCTGGACTTGTCATGATGATAGGCAGTTATAAACATACTCCTTGGAAGTATTTTAGCAGTACTGTATTCACTATCAAGTGGTAAGAGTTGGTTTTGTTTTATTATTTAGTTAGTTTACCACTCTAGCAGACACGCTAGCCTCCTCCTAGGCCTAGGCCCCTAGTAGTAGTAGTGGTTAGATGAAGAGGCCTGGCCTAGCGTAAGGCCTAGGCCTAGCTGTAACGGTAATACTAGCCTAGCCGCTGTACAGAGACAGACAGAACTGAGGTTCTCTCTAGGCCTAGAACCTGGGCCTTTTGTTGGCCTAGCCAAGCTGTAAGTTAATTGCCCTATAGTCTAGCTAGCATGCCATATAAGAAGAGTGGTAAATTGCATTTGGGCCGTGTCCTGACTAGGCCTATGTCCATGATGCTTTAATAAAATAATGGGTTTAGGGTTAACCGGGGAGGGGGTTGTGTAAAGAATTGTATCATTATTTGCAGAAAGTTAATGTATTAAATCTCTAGGCCTATACTAACATAAGTGGTGATTTTATTTCAGGATACACAAGTCTCAGTTACTATTGTAATTAAGTAAAAACTCAATCCGGTCAACTCAATCTTGTAGTTGAAAGCATTAATGTTTGTTTAAAGACGTATCTGTGAAGGAACAGAAAATTACCTGACATTCTATAGTGCTTTAATAAAATAATCGGGGGGTGTGTAAAGAATTGTATCATTATTTGGAGAAAGTTAATGTAATCAAAAGGCCTATACTAACAACATAAATGGTGACTTTATTTCAGGATTCTCAAGTCTCAGTAACTACTGTAAGTGAAAAATCAGTCAACTCAATCATTGTAGGAAGAAAGCATATTAATGTTTGTTTGAAGACGTATCTACGTTAAGGAACAGAAAATTACCTGACTTACTAAAGGTGAATATAATGTTTTGTTGACGTTTTATTTTTACTGTCCTGTACTATTAATTATTAACAACATGCTAAAGATGATGCTGTAGTTTACACGATAGAGTTTAATCAAATTTAATGTGTATATATTAGGCCTATATAGGCCTTAAGTGATACTGAAATTGTAATGTAGGCTAAGCTGTTTTGAGAACTAAAAAAAAAATTTTTTTTTAATTAAAAAAGAAATAACTGCTAGTCTGTCATTAACTACATATATATATATATATATATTACTCCTATTTCAATACAATAATAAAGGGATGTGATACATTTAATAGCGGTTTCTCTAATATGTGCTCTATATACTGTATAAGTTTACCATTATTATTCTTTTTAAAGATTTTGTTTTGTTATATCTTTCAGCAAGAGTGAACTCCGAAAAATGTTAGTACAAGTCACAGTGATTCAATATTTCAAAATAGATTTGTTCAACGGCATAATTCATACTAATTAGCTTGGTCCCATCGGACAAGAAAAGGCATGGTTATGGGCCGTTGCTGCTGCAATATCACAAAGAATGCTGGTTTATGCACACCTGTAACACAAATGGTTCTTGAATATTGTTTTATATAATAAACTCTTGTATTATGACAACATTACGAAAAAAATGCTTATTTAAACCGGACTGTAAAGCAGCCTTGAATTTGAAGTACAGTATGTTTAGCAGTAAGACATTAGCAAAACTATTATAAATGAAAGGGTATGCTAGTAAATGAGACCCTAGGGAAGAATCACTAAGGTTGTTAACAAACTGGTTGTACTCATGAAAACTACCTGGATAATCATGACCAATATAAGCTGTAAAATTCCACGACCACCAGTAGCCCGCCCTCAATTTCTGGAAACCACCTGCGCAATCGACACCGCTTGGACACGGCTGACATGCGCCGTAACGGTAAGTGCGATGGAAGTTCTCTAAGCATGGACACGCATTAAGAGCTGCCTGGGAAGCTGTATTTGTTCCAGTAGGACATGACCGGCAACCAAAAATCGTGGTAGCTGCAAGAGTAGGAGAAAACGTTCCAATTGGGCACCGTTTACAGTCGGTTGTGTAATTACCGGTTTTTAAATGTCCACGCTGCTCTTGATAGAAACCACCTAAAATTAAAATTTTTCAAATTAATGTAAATTAATTTTGAAGTTGAGAAGTATCTGTACTGATTATTATTGAGAAAAAATGTTTGTCCCTAATTGAAATTTGAGTATAAGATAGCCCGATTACTCTACCAACTGAACTATAACGCCAAATAGTAAAAACCTTAGATATTCCCATTAAGTTACGTTTGTTCACAACCTATTTCGTAACACGCAATGAATAATAGTAAATCAAACATTGGTATGGAGAAACATCCCCACTGGTGATAATCAATGTGTATATATATAGTAAATTGTTATAAGAAATTAATCATAACATTAAATAATGATAATAATGATAATAATAATGATAATAATAATAATAATAAATAATAATAATAATAATAATAATAAATAATAATAATAATAAATAATGATAATAATAATGATAATAATAATAACAATAAATAATAATAAATAATAATAATAAATAATAATAATAAATAATAATAATAATAATAAATAATAATAATAATAATAAATAATAATAAATAATAATGATGATGATGATGATGATGATGATAATAATAATAATCATCTCTCGATGATATAGTAATTGGGTCTCTAGTACCAGTGTGTATTGGGTAGGCCTATTTCCGCTCATTTAAATTTGGTATATTTTTCCTACTCTAATCTAAAAATAATAATAAAGAAAATCAGATTAAAAACAAAAAAACAAGTGTCGGTAAGGTGTTGAAGCTCTTCACCAAATGTCTCTCTCT